GACCACGAATTTGTCAAAAGTAGCTGAATGTCTTTATTTAATGGTGCTTCTTTATTGTGTAACCATTACCTCACCAAACAGCATAAGTTATTTAGGGAAAAGTTGAACAGTTCTTGACCTTTTATCTTTTTTTTTTTTTTTCTTTTTCAGTCAAATAGTTTTTAACTTGAATGGCCCTTCCCGTCCAGTAGTATTGGACCCTGCGTTAGAAATGTTCACTTCTGTGGGTGGCGTGTTCGAGTCCCATTGAACTCATTTCTTCCCTCCCTCATATATACCTGTAAATAATACCAAAATTGTTCAAAAAAAATTGTTTTTAACTTGATATCAAAATTTTTAAGTTAGTGGTTTGATATATATATATATATATTTTTATACGTAGAAACTAGGGTTTAAAACATATATATGTAGCTAGTTAAGAATACAAATAACTATATTATCAAATCATATGGCTGCTGATGTTTGATATTTATTGATAGGTTAAATACTAATTTTGATCTCTTAATTTTATAGTATTTTACAATTTTCATCCCTTAACTATTTTTTATACTTTTTTAATCCCTTAACTCTAAAAATTGTAAAATTTTAATCCCTTTGTCAATTAAGTCGTTAAATCAATCCAAATGGCATTTTTTTTATTTGTTTTAATGACGTGAATAAATGATGCATCCTTATTAATCATATTTGAAAAATTAAGAGACTCACTTGCCTAAATTGATTATTTACTAAATTAAAATATTTTTAAGATCACAATTTTACCCCTTACTCCATCTTCTACATTTGGTCTCCTCTTTGTTTCCCTAATTCATCTACCCCCTTTTTCCAGCTTACCCTTCTCCATTCTATAGCACTCTCTTCCTTTTCCTCCTTCTTTGTCTTGATACTTCAACCTAACTTCTCCTTTCTCTTTTTGTATTCATCTTCCTCCCAACTCTAGTGCCTTTATTTGTTCATTTTCTACTTCTTCAGCAAGGATTCAAGCATCTCTTCCTGTCTTGCCCTTTCTTCCTTCTCCTTCTTCCCCTCCATGCAAACCCTATTTCGATCTAGGTTTGTCATGGAACCCAACAATCTGGGTTCATTTGAACCCAGATCATTGGGTTCGTTTGAACCTAGTTTTGGGTTTCACAGAACCCAACAACCTGGGTTCCTAGAACCCAACCAACATGGGTTCAAGGAACCCGAATTTCTGGGTTTTCAAACTCGTATTTATAGATTTTTTTTTTCTTTAGTAACTCTAGCAATTTCTATGTATATATTGAACCCTTCTGTTTGATGGATTTTTGTTTTAAATATTATGGTTGTGGATGGAAATTTAATATTATGAATGCTGCAGCTATTTCTCTTGTGATTATGTGATCATTAAGTTGGATTGAAGTAGTATGAATTTTCAAGGTTTTGGTTTGATTTTGTTGCATGGTTAATTATCGTAGTCGAAGAAGAACTTTATTAAATATTGGTGCTAGTTTTGTTGTTAGATTTCATTCTGATTTTGTGTAATCAAAAGATTATATTTGTTTGGTATAAGTTTAATTATAATTAATAATTTTAATTATATAAGTTAATGGATGGTTTTTCCATATAAGCATTTTTTCGTATTAGTTAATGGGTTTACATAAGCATTTTTTCTTGTTGAATACTCCATGTCTTTAGAAAAAGTTTAAAAAATACCATGTGGCTGGAGTTAATAGTCCTAATTGATGGAGAGATCAAAATTATATGGTTTTTAGAGTTGAAGGATAAATAACTGCAAAAAATAGTTAAGGGATGAAAATTGTGCAACATTATAAAGTTGAGGGACCAAAATTAACTTTAACCTTATTGATGTAAGAGTTTTTAAGTTAGTGGTTTGGTATTTACATCTTACTAGTAACACCCTATTATTTTGTAACTCATTTAAAAAAAAGAAATTCAACATTTGCATCTACAATCTACAAGATGCCTTCAACACAATGGACTTCTCAATTTCTGGCATAATTCATTGTTCACACTTTAAGTAAGCCTCACTAGTTTCTTGTGAAGGAGCATGTTAAGATTAATACTATCTTTGATCCCTCGTCTTGTAACTTAAGCTTCGGGTAAAATCCGGACGCATGTTCGGTTTATATATATGGATGCATTAGGATGGTGGTTTCTCAGGATCTTGAGTAAAAAATTTTGAGCCCTAGAATTGAACTGCCACTGCCAAGATTATCTGTTCTTGTTGTTCTCTTTGATATACCTATTGATATAACTATCTGTTCTTGAAAAAAATTCCCTCCTTCCCCAAACTTCCCCAAGTTCAAAAAATAAAAATAAAAATAAAAGTAAATATATATCTATATATATATATATATTGGTTGAGTTAGAATAGAGATTTGTTTAGGCTTGTTTGGTATGGTTATGGTTTTTTATTTTTAGTTTTGATTTTTACAAATTTTACGATCTTTAAAGAATTAATTGAAAATTAATCTTACCTATAATTCCTTAAAAAAGATCCAATAACATTAATTTTAAGACCCAAATTAAAGGGAACAAACTCTTTGGGCCTCTTTAGGCCTCTTGCATTCTTCCAAACCCTTTCAAATGAACATTTTGGTAAAATTAAATCAAGTGTTTTGTAAATCAGTCCAAAAGAGTTTGTTCCATTTAATTTGCGTCTTAAAACTAAACGACATTTAGGGAATTGTGTTTATGCTTTTATT